GTTCTTCCCACCGTCGCGAACTCGACTTTTTATAATGTGCATGTTAGCAGGTGATGCAGCTGAGATACAGTCTGTACGATCCGGAAAGGAACCACTTACTCTTCTCACTGCTCAACTTCGTTGAGTCCATCGTCTTGCTCAAGACCTTCACCGCCATGGCGCAAGCCTCCTTCAGATCACAGTCCTCCTTGTAGTCTTGCTTGAGCAAGCTTTGGGCGCTTGCGTTGTTGGCGCCCACGCTGGTCGCTTTCCAACCACCGTAGTTACCGCTGGGGTTGCTCTGGTACAACTGGAACTGCCGAAGAGGGTCGTAGCCCGCATAGATGAATGACACACCGAAGGGACGAAGACCACCGTGTTGGGTATATCCTTGTTTCAGATCGCACAACCGGCGGACCAGTTGCTCGCAAGGGATCTCTTCGTTGTAGGTAAGGAGGTACCGCTGAGCGGCTTGTCGGGCGTAGTTGATCAGGATGTTCGCGTCTGCCGTCATACCAGCAACAGCACAGATCATGTTGCTGCCCAAAATGTTAGGCTAGTCAAGGGCGGTGGGATGAGGGCCGCATACTCATTCAGTGTGTACAACTTCTCGGCAGATGTGTCCTGCTCGAGCAGCTTGCTAGTGACTTTCTTCTCCGCGGCCAGGACGATTCCATCCTTGGCCAGAATACCCAGAGCAGTACCGGCGTGCGAGATGGCTTCTAACGCATACTCAACCTGGTACAGGCGACCTTCGGGGGAGAAGATGGTTGTCTGTCGAAGAACGTCATCGGGTCAGCTAGGAAGCTTCCGAAAGAACAATTGATCATCGGGGGGGAATAAGCATACTCTGGAATCGTATCTTCTTGACATCTTGAACTAATCGAACAAATATTGAGGAACTTCAGTTGTGTATATCAAGCAAAGAGAGAGGGTGGGAATGAGCGGAGTTGTGATGGGGGGGGAAGATGAAGGGAGATGCCGAGCAAGCTGTGCAGTTGAAGGTCGGATGAGCTCCCGTAGGAAGGTAGGAAGTGAGCGAGTGAGTGACCGACCAGGCAACTTCGCCCTGGCGCGTCCACCAGCCCGCCCGCCCCGGGCTGACGAGACCATCCGTCCGCCAAGCTCGGACCACCCCGAGATTCCATGCGAAGCTCTCCGCGACACTGGCGCAAATTATCTTCCAACGGCGCTGCAGGACTTCAACCATTTGATTTAACAATCCTTCGTTTGTGAGCTAAGACATCTTCACTCAATTTACATGTATAATTGAGTGATACTTTGCAAATCTATATTTTTCACCATGCTAAGGTCGACATATACCCCACCTCCTCCGCTACCTCCAGGATGGACCGAACATAAAGCTCCTACAGGTTCGCGCACCTAAACAGAGTCTCGTTTAAATCTCGTCCCTAATTCGATCTAGGACATACATACTATTACAATGCGCAAACCAAGCAATCCACCTACACCAGGCCTCTACCAGTCCTGACGCAACCTCAACCGCCGACAATAACGCCGCAACAACCCACGTTCAACACGAACATAGACACACTACCCCCATTCTCTTCTACTCCTTATGCGCCCCATGGATTCGGACTTGGTGCCCCTGGCTTTAATGCCATCCCTCAATACGGACAGCAGCAAGGAAGTCAGGGCCAAGGAAATTTCCGTGGCGGAAGAAACAGCTATGATCGTCGACGTCGGGGGCCAGAAGACAGGCCCAAGAAGAAGCACGCAGTGCCAGGATGCGCGCCCTGGGTGCTTGTGAAGACGAAACTCGGAAGACGATTCGTTCACAATCCGGAGACAAACGAGAGCTATTGGAAAATCCCTCCCGAGGTGATGAAAGGGGTTCTCGAGTTCGATCGCTTGGAACAAGAGGCACTAGCGAGAAAGGAACGAGGCGAAGATGTCCAGGATGTTGGAGACCTGGAACATGCAGAGGGCAGTTCAGGAGAGAGACAGGAAGCCGAGATTTCGGCAAGCGGGCCCACAACAGCACACGCTGAGGAGGACAGCGACGAGTATGAGGAAGTCGAGGTTACGGACGACGAAGACGAAGACCAACCCTTCAAACGACCGAAGACCGATGAAGATGCAGGTCACCCCCAACCTGTGGAATTTACGGAAGAAGATATGGAATATCAGTTAGCAGCGATGGGAGAAGAATACGGCCTTGACCCCGGCGAGTATGGCGAACCAGGCGAGGAAGGGTGGGAGGAGGGTGCTGAAGGTCTGCCGCTCACGGAGGAGGATGCTACGGCTCTGTTCCGCGACCTCCTCGACGACTTCCATATCAATCCCTTCACGACCTGGGAGAAGATCATTGAAGAAGGCCACATCATCAATGACAGCCGCTATACTGTTCTCCCGAACATGAAAGCGCGTCGCGACGTCTGGTCAAACTGGAGTCGCGATCGTATCCAAGAAATCAAGGAGCGCAAGCAGAAGCAAGAGAAGAAAGACCCGCGCATAAAATACCTCTCATTCTTGCAAGAACACGCAACCCCAAAACTGTACTGGCCAGAATTCAAACGGAAATATAGGAAAGAGCCAGAGATGAAAGACCCACAGCTGTCGGACAAAGACCGGGAGAAGTTCTACCGCGACCTGGTATCACGAATGAAGCAGCCCGAAAGCAGTCGAAAATCCGATCTCTCGGCTCTGCTCAAGTCTGTGCCTTTGCATGAATTGAACAAATCATCCAACCTCGAAGCGCTCTCCACCTCTATCATCACCGATCTCAGATACATCGCACTAGCTCCCAAAGTACGTGATCCGCTTATTGAGACATACATCTCGACCTTGCCCCCGGCGCCAGAGGATAACCTCACCGCCGATGAGAGAGAAGAGCTGGAGCGAAAGAGAGTGGAGCGAGAAAAGCGCGAGAGAGCTTTGGCGGAACGTGAGAAGCAAGTTGAAGATGAAAAGCGGAAGCAGAAGGGCGAACTCATCCGTGGCAAACATCTCCTAAGAGAAGGTGAGGTCGAGCTTGAGGAAGCTATGCAAGTCAACAAGGGCGGCCTGCGCAGCTACCTGGAAGCAGAGGACCAATCGCCCAGACCTCGAGGGGAATAGGGAGCATTTGGGAAGTGCATTTCATGTATAGGATAATCATGATTTTAGATGAGTGTAAGATACATGTTGAACCATTTCTGTCTCTATCTAAAGGATCAATCACACAATGCTTATGATTCAGCTATGCGGGCGTAATATGCCCCGCCACACAAGCAAGCGCAGGTGTGGAGGTATGAAAGAGCAAGTAAGCTAGCAGGACAGCACTCGCGTTGCCAACACTGTGGCGAATTAAGATGATTAGTAGCAATTTTGTCTGATCGCACATAGCTCATGGGGTATCATTGTAAGTTTTTAGAAAAGTTCTGGACCTCCCTCTTTGTGAAATGACGCCGTTTGTTTGTGTCCCACGCCTGAACCTTGACCCTAACAATTACCGGAACCTCCAGTTGTCCCAATCATCATCGTCATCGTCATCGTCGTCATCATCATCGTCATCCTGTTCATCTCCATTCTCGTGACGGCGTCCAGCGTGGCCCAGCTCATCCTGCGGCGCAGGGGTAGCGGATGGAGACTTATCCATGTCCTGCACTGCTACATCCTCGGTAGGTCTAAGTTGCCGCAGCTCTTCGCGTTTCTGTTTGAGGCGCTTGAGACGCTCCTCTAGCTGTTCCATCTCATCGAACTCGTTCTCCATGAAGCGCGCCGCATCCTCGCGCTCCCCTTCCGCCTCCACCTCGCGGTTCTTGCTTATCGTCTCGGATTCGCGCTGTTGCTGTGCAGCGATCTCTTCCGCGGTGAGGGGCGCGGCTGAGATGGTTGCCGTCGCGGTCAGCGCCGCGGGCCGGTGTGGCATGCGCGTTGGTGCCACCACCTCGCGCTCAAAGGCCGCCCACTCATCCTCATCCACGGTTTGAGGAAGTGGTGCTGGGGCTGTCCCAGCAGGGGTTTCTGAAGGTTGTCCCGCCGGCTCGGAGGAGTCGTGCTCGATGGGAGCGTCTGACGGGGCTTCGGGACCGGCGACTTCCTCGTCCAATTGTTCGAGCTCCTCCTCCTCATGTTCCTCTTCGATGGCCGTCGCGCTCGGTGGCTGTATCGTCATATGCCCCGCCGCGGAATTGGATTCTGCGCCGGCCGGCCTGATCCTCTTGCGCATCGGGTCGTCTGCGGGATCTACCTTTCTTTTCTTGGTTACACGGTTGCCCGTGCTCCCTGTCTGAGGGGAGCCCTTGCGGGTGGCGAGCTCATTGCGGAGTAATGAGCGAACATCGGCCATGATCTTTCTTCTGGGAATGGGGATAAATGCTATGATGATGTAAAGAGACAATGAGAAGGAGAATGAAAACGTTTGGTTGGAATTACTAGATAGGTAGGTAGGTAGGTAGGAGGTAGGTAATGTAAAGCCCTTTTTCAAACCAGGCGATTAGAAAATCAATCTATGTGGGGATTCCGGAGAAGCTTTGGAAGGGCGGCGAAGAATAAACGCGACGAGAACGGGCGACGGGCGCACCGCGCGACAAGCCGATTCCGCGGAGCCGCAGTCACGTGGTAACCATTCGGGTTCAGCTGATTCAGCATCCGAACCAACTCTCACTTAATCAGCAGCCTGGAGGAGGTTCAACCGCGACAACATCTCCTCTTCTTCTTCCCAACCTCGGATCATTCTTTCTCATCTCCCATCAACCCTGGCTGATTCTCGCTGGGCGCACCTTTCATCAAGAATCGCCACTGTGCAATACATTTTTGCGCACTCTCTGTTCGCAGCTCACTATACCACGCCCAAATAGCCCGTGAGGCTTGAGTCACTTTTCGCGCGAACCCCGCCCACGCCAAGCATCCTGCGCGCGACACCGGTTGTGGTTGTTGAACAAACCTCCCGAGTCCTCCCTCCCTCCCTCCCCGTCACGGATGGTGACGCCACGGGCCATTCAGTCCCATCGTCTCTAAATAAGTCAGTCGCTGGAGCTTGGAGAAGATCAAGTAATACTTGCGCGGACCGCAGCACAGCAGTGCCAGTCGCCAGTGCCTTTCTCTGTGTATTGCTTTAGCTCTTCTGATGCCGTAGAACCGTGACCTGGGTGGCGTGCGCAACTTTCCCTTTGGACATTTTGGATCCAGCCCATTATCTACCTCCTCATCCAGCTTTCCTTTTACACCAACCATTTCGCGCCGTAGAAATTTGAAAATCTACTTCAGTCATTCACTCCCATCATGGCTGGTAAGCTATCGATCGTATTCCACCCATGTTTTCCTACCGGAGCCAACACTGTCGGTGGGCAGTGTTGGCGGCAGGCAAGCTTGGAAACAAAACTATGGCACGAATTAAATGCAGCTAACAAAGAACTTCAGATGAACCGAGACGCTCTGGTCGCTCGACCAAGGGCCAGCACAAGAACCTCGACATGATCACCGAGACGCCGGCGAAGAAGACGAAAGCCAAAGCTCAACCGAAGGAGAAACCCGCGAAGCCGTCCGTGGAGCCGACACCTGCTCCTAGCGAAGAGGAAGAGATTATCCGATGTATCTGCGGCGAATACGAAGAGGAGGAGGATATTGAACGTGACATGATCTGCTGTGATCGATGCTCTGCATGGCAACACAACGACTGTATGGGCCTCACGTTCGCTAAGGGAGAAGAGCCCGATGAATACTTTTGCGAGCAGTGCAAGCCCGAGAACCATCCGGTCCTCTTGGAGAAGATCTCGCGGGGCGAAAAGCCGTGGGAAGAAGCGGCCGAACGGCGACGCATAGAAGCGGAGGAGAAGAAGGCCTCGCGGCGCAAGAAGGGGAAGAAGGGCGGCCGACGAGGTCGACAAAGTGAGGTCAAGGTTGAAACGAGTACTCCAGCTCGCGCAGCACCCTCGACAACACCTGCCCCTACTCCTACCCCAGCTCCCTTGGCTGCGCCTGCGCCTGCTCCTGCTGCTCCTCCGCCTCCGCCTCCTGCTTCTGCTCCTACTCCTTCTCCTGCTGCCGAAGCCCCTGCTACCGAAGCTCCGGCTGCTGCGCCTGCTAAGGAACCATCTCCTGCTAAGGCGCCAACTCCTGCTAAGGCGCCAACTCCCGCCAAGGAGCCAACTCCCGAGAAAAATGGACATACTCCTGAGGCTCCACCAGCAAGCGCCCAGAAACGCAAGTTCGAGGAGCATCAAGAAGCTCCAACCGCGGAAGCTGTACGTAGCCTGTTCCTTTTCTGGCTTGACCACGCCTGACTGACACTAATCCTGATGATAGGAACCAAAACCCAAGCAGCAGAAGATCTCACCCCCAGCCGCCACCCCAACACCTCCCCCCGAACCGGCTCCAGTGAAGGATGAGCCCGCCGGGCAGTCTTCTCGACATGGCTCCACTGCATCGCCATCGCCGACCACCGCAGAAGTGACGAAGTCCTTGGAAGAACCCACTAACCCGGCTCGAAGAAGTGCTGCTAGTGCCCTGGTCAAGTTATTTGTAGATCAGATTTCTGAGTCCCAGAAGAAAGGATCTTTCAGCTTGCCCAAAGGGAAACCCGTGGAGGAAGTTGCGCGGCAGCTTGGACTCTCGATTGAGAGTGCTATGTACCAGAATATATGCGGAGGATCTGGAGAGCCTACAGACCCGTATAAGACACAATTGCGGACGATCCTGTTCAACGTAAAGAAGAACCCTTCTCTACGGGATCGTCTGCTCGTAGGTAGTTTACTTCCCGATGCCCTCTCTAAGATGAGCAGCCAAGACATGGCCAGTGAGGAGCTCCAGCAGAAGGATGCTGAGATCAAGCGGGAAGCCGAGCGTCAACACATTATCATCCAAGAACAAGGGCCGCGCATTAGACGCACCCATAAGGGTGAAGAACTGGTCGAAGACGAAAACCATACCGCCGCCAGCGAGCCGGTCTTCTCCACGGCCGCATCTCGACGCAGCTTGGCCGAGGCCGACGGCAGTCCTGCCGGACAGAGTCCGACCAGTCCGACGCCACAGACGACTGAGACCGATGGCGCTGCACAGAAGCATTCCAATGAGTCCAAGCTCCCCGATGGGGTGGACATTCGTCGCGATGACTTCCCTCCGAGAGCACATTCGCCTGGTGGCACCAGCCACGAGCCTGTCTTCCCTGAAGTGTCGGCTCATATCCGCGAACAGCTACCAGCACGCAAGGCACAGGCCGATGCAGAGATTGATAAGTTGCTCAAGGACGATGAACCCGAATCGCCGCCCTACTCACCCAAGGAATACCACGACGAAGGATCGATCTGGCATGGCAAGGTGATGATGAGTACCATCGCCGAGTTCTCCTCCTCGGCGAAGCACGCAGGAGGCGCCGACCTCAGCGGGCGTATACCCTGGAGCCAGCTGGTTCCCTCGACTTTGCTTGTGGACGGACGCATCGACACTCAGTTGGCGGGCAACTATCTATGTGGTCTGCGATTCAGCTCGTCGACCGATGTCACCGTCATCTCGATCAGCAGTCCCGAGAACCCCAAGCAGAGGGCCGGCTTCGACAAGCTGTTCAGCTACTTCCAGGACCGCAACCGATACGGGGTGGTGGGCAAACACCCACTGCCAGCTGTCAAGGATACCTACCTGATTCCGATTGAGGCCGGTTCGACCAAGAAGCCCGACTTCATCGAGCTGTTGGAGAACAACACCCTCGAGGACCCAATGCCCGAGCGGGTGCTCCTGGTAGTCTTCGCCGTCAAGACAGGCGATTCGAACCCCCCCTCTGTCCAGCCTTCTCATCCCACCAGCCAGGAGCCCGGTGCTTCTACCAGCCCTCTCACCACGGCTCCCCAGCAGCAGCAGCAGCAGCAGCAGCAGCAACAACAATTCCTGACCCCGGCCCCCCCTCGCCATTCCTCTCAATTCACCCCCAGCCCAGCGCCATCGTTTCCCGCCACGCCGCAGGCGCCCGTCCCCTACGGCCAGCAACCGCAGCAACCACCCGCAGCGGCCACCCAATACCCCTCTTATCCCCCTCCTCAAGCTTCCACCCACCAGGCTCCCTTCACAGGTCTGGCGGCAGCCATCCAGGTCTTGGGTCCGCAGGCCGCTCAGTCCCCCGCTCTCCAGCAACTGCTGCAGCAGGCACCCAACGCCGACGTCTCTCAGCTGGGAGTGATCAAGGAGATCCTGCTACGCCGTCCAGAGGCCAGTTCAGATTACAAGCTTCTGACGGACGAATTATTCAAGGTCACCGCGGCCAATGGACATGCTGGTGGAGGACAGCAGAACAACCGGTAGAAGGGAAAGCTTAGATATATGCTGTATAGTACTTCATCTTTCTTTCCTTTTTCTTTTCTCCTCCTCTCCATCCTCTTCATTCGCCGCATCACCTTCCCCTTTCCTCCCTTCCTTACCTTCTCATTTCAGTCTCATAGTTGGAACTTGGTGTTCAAATCTTAGTGGCGGGCCCTTTCCCCGAAGGTTTCCAAACTACCTCTTTCTTTTTTTTTTTTCTTTTTATATCTTCATCCGTTCTCAAAATGTGTATTTGGGCGAAAAACGGGGGGAGCTTTTCTTCCTACTATTACTTATTCTGTCACGTTTTTGTTCTTTGCTTTTTTTCCCCCTTTCTTGTGAAGACGCGCAGGCTATTTATTTGATCCAGCGATGGTTTATGCTGTATGTTTTTCCAGTTGCGGCTTGATTGCCCGATTGTCACTTCCCAGAGGCCAATTTGATGTATGCATTTCCAGATTGTACGGCAGATAACGCAGATCGTTTTCGATCGATTGAACACAATATACTCATTATCCGATAACATTTTCTACTTCATGATTTATTTGTTTGGAAGAATTGAATTAGAGGCTCTTGGTACAGGGTATTATACCGCGATGTGTAGATTTGTTTGTTTCGCTAACATAAGGTAAAGTGATGTTTAGATATCTTTTTGAGACAGAAAGAAGAAGATAGCCATGACATCCGCCAAGCATGGTCGACCGTGAAAGGAAACGCCTACGCTATGCAAAGACCAAGCTGAAAGCGTACAGCCGAACAGGAAATGAAAAGGAAAACAAAAAAAAGAAAAAAGAACAGAAATCGGTATAGGACAATCCAAAAAACCCCCCCTTCTCCTTCTCCTTGTTTCATGATCATCGTCATCCGTCATCATCACCACCGAGGACCACGCTTTTTGTACCCACCACCACCGCCGCCACCACCACCGTAGCGAGGCCCGCGGCCACCGCCCCCGGAGCGACCACCGCCCCAGCCCCGATCACGATCGTCCTCGTCATCGTGGTGCCGGACCGGCGGAGGCCGACCCTTGAGCTCCTCGCTGAGTCGCTTGAAGGTCTTGCGCATGTCCGAGTACCCCATGTGCATCTTGCCGAAGAAGTGATCGGCCAGGCGGCGGTCGTTGTCGAGGCGACTCAAGTACGCGCCGCAGACATCGCAGACCTGCAGCTTCTGGTGGCCCGAGGGGCCCGAGGTGTCTTGGAGGTTCTTGAGGTCGCGCTCGCACGTCTCCTTCTGGTGCTTGGCGGTGCGGATCTTGTGCAGTTCGTTCAGGGCCTGCGCCACGGCGCCGGTCTCGCCCAGGACGGAGATCTCGAGCAGACCCGAGTTGATGGTGTTGGTGAGGTCGGCGATTTGTTTCAGCTGCATGGTAACAAAATTAGTTTCTGGTGCTCCAGCAAAATGTTCTAGGTGATGGGAAGGGGGGGAAGCAGAGCAGCAGAGAAGCCAGCCAGCCTTACCAGGTTATTCGTCTGTCGGATTTCATCCGGGGTCTTCTCCAGCCGTCGCTGCGCCGAGTCAATGCGTCGGTCACAGTCGTCGATGTACTTCTGCATGTCGCGCATGTAATCGTAGTCAAACCCCCACTTGGCCTTGTCCGCAGCCGAGGCGGCCTCGTATTCCGTCTTCAATCCTTCGCTGTGCACTTTCGGGCACTGGCCCAGGTCTTGTTTGGTGTTGGTGAAGAGGTCGTGGGGGCAGGTGCCGACGAGGTAGGAACGGCAGACTTTCGGATCGGTGATGGCGAGTTGCGCATTGCGGGATTGCGCTCCTGTGCCGATGAGTTGGTCCGCTGTAGCAGTCAAGGATATCCAGGATTAGCTAGCTATCTCGGAATTGCGGGTTTTCGAGACGAGGGGAGAGAGCTGGAAACGCTCGAGAAGGGAATTGTTGGGGACGTACCTCCCATGAGCTGCTCAAGCAGCTTTCTTTGTTCCGCAGCCATAGTGGGAGAATAATGCCTGGGGTCGAAAGAGTGGTGAGGGGTGAGAGGATGAGGGGGGGGGAAAGAAAAAGAAAGATCGCACTTGAAGGAGTTTGAATTGGAGAGCTTCTTGCTTCTTCTTCTGTTCTGGCCGGGAAGTTCTGCGGGCGTGGCGCTAACCGCGGTTGGCTGCGCTTATGTGAGCTCCGGGCCCCTGTTCGCCTTGCGGTATTATACACTCTACTTCCCTCATTATCTCGACGACAGGAATACTTTCCCCCATGATATAACGGGTGGTTGAAGACTGTCGATTCTAACGGAGCTTGAAACGTTAGACTTCGACCCGAACGAATCGTCGTTGACGTACTGCAGGTGTCTCCGCAGCTGTCAGTTGTTGTTGCATCTCTCACGAGCAACGCAGCTGCCGAACGTCGCAACTCCACCACCGAGGGCACCGAGGGGTGGTGCATCAAGATATCTTTACTGGATTCTTTCTGAAGCCTCCGTGTCGGCCAGCATGACGTGATGACTGTCCTTTCGCTTCTCTCTCTACTCTTCCTGGCCGCGTTCTCCTCGCTCGCCTCCGCGAACTCCGACTACCACGAGAGCCTCGTCCTCCAACCACTTCCGCAATCCGCGCTATTAGCTTCCTTCAACTTCCAGAGCAATGACTCGCAGGCCTCCTTCGATGAGCGTCACTTCCGCTATTTCCCCCGCGCGCTAGGCCAGATCCTCCGCCACGCCAATACCAAGGAGCTGCACCTCCGGTTCACAACGGGTCGATGGGATGCTGAGAGCTGGGGTCCTCGCCCGTGGAATGGAACCAAGGAGGGGGGCACCGGTGTGGAGCTGTGGGCGTGGATCGATGCCGTGGATGATGAATCGTACGTCTTATGCTGGGGTGACCGGACAGATAGGATCCAATGTTGACATCACTCAACCAGGGCTTTCGCAAAATGGATCACCTTGGCCCAATCACTCTCCGGGCTGTTCTGTGCCTCGTTGAACTTCATCGACTCGACCAGAACGACGAGGCCAGTCGCATCGTTCGAACCCACAGGGACTCACGCGGCTTCGGATAATCTGCATCTTCTGCACGGAACACTTCCTGGCGAGGTGGTCTGCACCGAGAACTTGACGCCATTTTTGAAGCTCCTTCCATGTAAGGGAAAGGCGGGTGTGGCTAGCCTTCTGGACGGGCACAAGCTTTTTGATGCTTCGTGGCAGAGCATGTCCGTGGATGTGCGTCCTATCTGCACGCAGACCGGGGAATGTGTTGTGCAGATTGATCAATCGGTGGACATTGTGCTCGATATCGACCGGTCCAAGCGTCCACGGGGTCAGTATAGCTTGCTTGACGCATGACGATCTGTGCTGATCCTTCCCCTAGATAACCCCATCCCACGGCCCGTGCCTAACGAGCAGCTCGTGTGCGACACATCCAAGCCTTATCACTCAGACGACACCTGCTACCCGCTAGAGAGCACGTCCGAAAAGAGCTGGGGCTTGTCAGAGATCTTCGGCCGCAGCATTAGCGGATCATGCCCTCTCACCGAGGGTTCTACCGACGGAACGGTCTGCCTGCGAGTGCCACACGAACGAGAAGTCCGTGCTACTGAAGGCGCGGTGGAAGTGAAGAAGCCCGACGGCTACACCCGCTGCTTCACCCTGGAGTCTTCCACACCATTTGACCTCAACATCCCCGAGCAGGAGGCCACGACCCAAGTTCCACTCGATGAGCCTGTGCTGCGCGCCGAGCGCACGATCGTCGGACACGGCCAGGAACGCGGAGGAATGCGGATCATCTTCGACAACCCCTCGGACACCCACCCTGTTGACTTCATCTACTTCGAGACGCTGCCGTGGTTCCTCCGCCCCTACTTCCACACCCTCCAAGCCACCATCACGGGCCGCGACGGGCTACGTCGCCAAGTGCCCGCCTCGCAATTCATCAAAGAGACCTTCTACCGCCCAGCCATCGATCGCGAACGCGGGACCCAGCTCGAGCTGGCGCTCTCCGTGCCGGCCGCGTCGACGGTGACGCTGACTTACGATTTCGAAAAGGCCATCCTGCGGTACACGGAGTATCCCCCGGACGCCAACCGCGGGTTCAACGTGGCTCCGGCGGTGATCAAGCTGAGCCCGGCGGGCGGCGGCGGCGGCGGCGCCAGCCACCCGATCTACATCCGCACAACGAGCCTGCTTCTTCCACTCCCCACTCCGGACTTTAGCATGCCATACAACGTGATCATCTTGACGAGCACGGTGATCGCGTTGGCTTTCGGCAGTATCTTTAATCTGCTGGTGCGCCGTTTCGTGACGGCCGAAGAGGCCTCGGCCATGCGAGCGCAGACCCTAAAGAGCAGGTTGGGTGGGAAGCTCGTTGCTCTCCGGGACCGAGTCAAGGGGAAGACGGCGAAGACAGAGTAGTTCATGTATTCATTTAGTTCACACCCCATCTAAAAATGCAACCACCGGTTGAAGAGATTCATGCATTCGATTTCATAATATCATTAACCCTAATAATCCCATACACCCCACCTAAAAAAAAAAAGACAAACACTAAAGTTACAACCCCCCAGCAAACACAAATAACGCCACCCCCTATCGGGCAGCCCAAGCCAACAACACCTCCCCCTCAATCAGAAGAAGAAGAGGAGGAATTCACTCAGGATAGAGACTAAACCCTCATCAGCCAGTCCCATCTATCACCTCCCCTCCCCTCACCTCTTTCTCACTGCATCCACCCCCCTCATCCCTCAACCGCTCATCCCCCGAAGGAGAAAGGGAAGAAAAGGCCCGGGGAAAGCTTACAAACCCAACTTATCCTTCATCGTCTCCCAGCCCGGCAGCGCCCCGGACCCGCCGGGCTTCCGCTCCATGAAGCTGTGGTCCTCGGTCGCGCACGTCCCCTCCTGCATCCCCTGGCCCTCGTCGAACCGGCCCAGGAACTTGTGCTCCGCCGCCGACTTCTGGTCGCTGATGTCGCGGAATTCCGGGGCCGTGAGGACGTCGCTCTACGGTCGTTGGCGTTAGTCATCGCAGAACAGTACTGTTTCTGAAATGGTACAATACAGAGGGGAAAGGGGAGGGGAAAGGGGAAAGGGGAAAGGGCCCGGGAAAACGTACCGAAACCCCGCCCTTGGGGTGGCCCGAGTCGCCCCAGCCGCTGCCGCCGCCGGCGTTGTTGGCGGGCGTGGGCTCGGCGGAGGCGCCGCCGCTCGTGGCTTGGGGGAGGCGGTTGGAGTTGGAGGCCATTTTCGTGGTGTTTAGTAGTTAAAGTGGGTGGGTGTTGTTGAGTTAGGTATAGGTGGGGATTGAAGCGTGTGGCTGTGGTGCTGGAGATATGGTTAGTGGTGGTTGCGATGGATGTATATAGTTAGGCGTCGTATGCGGTATGTTCTGCGGAGGGAGGAAGATGGGAAAGCGAAGACTCACTATTTATGCAGATAGTCTCAGAGATGTAGATTTGATCGGGGTCACTTCGAAATCTGCTGGATTGGGTTTATATACCCTACTCGTATCCCTCTTGGGGATGAATGAAGGGTTGGTGATCTCATCATGAACACACGTCATTTTCGGGGTTGCCACCCCCAAGTTTGGGGTCAGTCGCATTCACTTGCTTACCCCAAGCATTGGGGATTCCTGCATGTAAGTTATTATGTACTTGTCACACAAGCAACTGTAGAAGTGATCCTGATGTCTTTATCGATTTGGCTCTCATCTACTGATTCTACCATAGCTAATGTGGTGCACTCTGTATATACATACGTCACGTCATAACGTATCAGCTATGGTAAAACAAGAAAAGACAAAAATAATACCTCTGGATCGCAGCCAACAGAAAGTGTAATTGGGGAATTATAATGTATGCATCAATCATGGAGGTCTTCAAAAATCCAAGAATCCACGGAAGAATAAAATATAGACCTAAATAGAGCATTACTGCGACTCGACTTGTTCAGCCCAAGAAGTCCCTTCCATCGGTGAAAGAGGGTCCACGTTGAGAAGGTCCAGGTTCACTGCAGTTGTTGCAGCATTGAGAGGTTCCTTTGGCTCCTTAGGCTCATCGGAGGAGTCCTTGAGGACCTCCTTCTGAGTGTCCTTCTGCTCCTCCTTGACCCACTCTTTCGGGGCCTCTTTCGAGGTATCCTTCCCGTTCTTCTCACTGCCAGGGAGCGCAGGGAAGTCTGCCTCATTGTCAAGCACCGGAGCAGGAGCCCACCTCGACTCGCCCAGGCCTGGCAGATTCTCGGCCGCGCCGTCCGACTGGGGAATATCCTCCCGTGGGCCACGATGACCACCGCGACCACGTCCACCGCGACCCCCACGGCCTCGACCTCGATGGCCCCCTCGAGGACTGTCACCATGGGGCTCCTCATGCACCTCACCACTCGGCTGGTCGCTAGGCTGCCCTTCAAAGTCGCGTCTCGTATAGCCAGAAACACCACCGTGCATACCTCGACGGAGGCCCCCGCGCCCACCGCGCGGGTTGAAATCCTCCTCCTTCTTCTGAGCATCCCACTCCCGGCCCGCAAAGGCTTGCAACTTCCGCTGTCGGTTGCGTTCCCGCTCGTTATCCATGACCCGGCGCTGCACCCGTTCCTGGCGTCTCTTCTCCTCCGCAACCTTCTCCCTCTCAAGGAATGAGGCTTGGTCAGCTTCAGCCCGAGCGTGCGCCGCGGCTACCTTAGCAGCGTTTTCCTTCGCAGCCGCAATACGACGCGAGAGCTCCTCTTCCGTGAGTTTCGGCTACACAGACAAACACAAACTCATTAGCCTCACGCTTAAGATCCACCATAGAGCCCCCCACGCCCGTGAAGAAAACGTACCTTCTTGATACCACCCGTAGCACTTCGATCTCCACGTACAGCAGGCACCCGCGGGCCCTCCGCTGCAGGCTTCTCACCCGCCGGTTGTTCTGTCTCTGCAGCCGCAGCCCCTGAGGCAGCCGGGTTAGTAGTAGTAGTCGTCGTAGCCTCCTCCACGGGATTGTTGCTGTCCTCGCCACCCTCCACAGGGCTCTCCGCCGTAGTCTTATTATTATGATAATTGTGCTTATTTCTCACGTTCGGATCACCCCTCCGGCCAGAGTTCTGCGACCCCCTCCGCCCACCCCGGCCCCCTCTGCCTCCCCGTCCCCTCCCCCGTCGCTCACCCCCGCGTGACCGCGACGGAGTGTCAGTCCGCGCAGGCGGTGATACGTCTCTGTCGATAGTAGTTGATGCTGTTGCGGGCGCGATACTCTCTTCAAAGGACTGCTGCTGGTGGTCATCCGCCGGCGGGGAGTGTTGTTCTTGTTGTTCTTGCAGCTGCATTTGTTGTTGTTGCTCTGCAGAGACGGGGATGATCTCATCGTCGAACAGGTCATCCCCCCCACGTGTTTGCGCGAACTCGTCCATGGCAGGGACGTCACTTGAGGGCCTGTCGTTTTCGGTCTTTCGAGATATGGTTGTATGGCCAGCCGCAAGGCAAAATGGATGTATTTAGTGTTGGTGTGTGTATGTGTATGTGGTATATCGCACAGGCACGACGCAGAAAAGCTGAAGGGTGGACACAGGAAATGCGATCCGTGAAAGGTTGGAAAGGTCTCAGGCGGCTTGTGTGGTTCGAACCAAGGAGGGCGATTAATTAAGGCTAGCTAAACTATCAGCGCTAGTTCCGCGCGCGGACGCGGGGAAGAACAGTCAGCTTTCTGGTGCGGGACAGAGAAGGGCAACGGCAGGGAAGGGTAGGGCGTTCAAAGCAATTGTGGACAAGTTTAAGATATGAATAGGAGATAGCTGGAACTGGGATGAAAAGTAGACGAACCACAGGCCAACCAGCCAAGTTTATCTGCAGGGAAGCTCCAGTCCAGCCCAGCCCAACCGGACCGGACCCAAGCAAGTCATTGCAGCCGCAACTCCAACTGACTGCTAAGGCGGTCTGAGTTGGACTGGTTCGTGTCTGGATACAATTCTCATGGTGTGGGGGATGATGGAGGAATGAAGGGTCAGGAAGAGGTAGTAGTACATACATAGATTAAGACGTAAGATGTAATCGAGTGATGAAAGAAGCGGTGATTTCTCAAGAGAGTAGCCGTGAGGATGGATCGGAGCAGCAGCGAAGCCAAAGGAAGCTCAAGAGGGGAAACTGCTGCCTCTCACCGCCTGGTTCTGCCATGCACCAACCCAAATACGGACTGATGAGGGGAAAGGTATTCATAACTTGGAAAAAATGATCTCATGCGGTTTCACATCCTACTATGTACTGTACAGTACAAGGCTTCCGTAGTGTATGCGCTAACCAAAAATATTTCCCACTCTTTCATGACTTGCGTAACCCCTAATGTGCTATGCTGCAACTTCACGGTCTCTTCTTTCTCTCGTGCACTATACACACTGCCATGCATTTTCGTCCGTGTAATTCCCTGGACCCTTGTATACATTGCGCCGGGGCCAGCGACAATGCTTGCGGGTATATTCCACTCCACTACCAACTCCATCAACAAACTTGGCTCCCCGCACAAACTCCGGCGCTATGCCCTTCTCCACCCACTGCACCATGGCCATGAGCACGTTGTTCTCCGGCGCAACGCCATTGAATGAATCGGCCACGTTCCCAATGCCGTATGCACCGTCACCGCCCCCACAGTGGCCCATACCACTGATCTGGAAGAAGCGATAAAACTCGTCCAGCTCGGCCGGCGGCAGGTTCATCGTCTCGGCCACTCGCGAGTAATACAGCTTGGAGTTCTCCGAGCTAATGATTTGGTCCATGAGCCCGTGGTAGGTCAGGACCTTGCCGCCGCTCTTGCGGAACGGGGTCAGGTCCGCATCCCAGGTCTGGATGTTGTACGGGTTCTGCTTGAGTGCCACGGCAATATCGTGTCTATTGAAGGTGGCCGGGTCCCAATCCGGGTTGCTGAAAACCACATAGCGGTACCAGTCGGTGCTGTAGGAAAAGGGCGAGCCACCGTAGTAGATTGCGGAGGCAGCCACCTCCGAGCCGGGTTGCATACGAGGGTAAACAAGGGTCCCGTTGAGCCCATAGAGTGGGGACAGGATCTGGCGAACCGTGTTTGCCTGGGCCCCGGTGAGACATTTGGTCGAGGAGGAACCGGGTTTGCAGATGATCGTGTCGATGATCGGGTGGCAGAGATCAGGATCTTCGATGATTCCATCGTGCGCGCCGTCGATAGCGTCGCATTGACGTAAGATCTCATCATGGACAACACTCCAGAGCTCAGAAGAGAGGTAGCTGTCTGAGGTGTTGGTTCCGGTGATGGGGTAGAAGTGACCGCTCCAGGAGGTCAAGCCTACAAAATTCATGGCAGGAGCACCAGCCACCACACCGTCAAAGTCATCGGGGAACTGCTGCACCGACTTGAAGCCCTCACGACCACCGGTGGAGCATCCCAGGTAGTAGGACTTGTTGAAGCCTTGCTCGTAGAAGAGCTTGGTCAACTGCTTTCCAACCACGACTCCAGTGTGAACTGACCGATAGGCAAAATCTTCGACGACTTCTGGGTGTTGGTAAAAGGGTTCGCCAGACGTGCCATTGTGTCCGTTGTTGGCACCGACCGTCGCAAAGCCGAATCCGGTTGTATACGCCATATCATCGTACCCAACACCTTAATAAGAAGACGCGTCAGACCTAAGAACAGAATCATGCAGGATGAGTGGAAGAGAGGTGACATACAGCCATTGAGTCCTCCATTGCCTGTGCTCAGAAACCGACCAGTGTAGTTTCGAGGCAGCCATGCCTCCAATGTGATCTCGCTGCTGTTTGAGGTCGCAACCGCCATCGCGACTCGACAAAAGTCGGCCGTCACAGCCTGATAGGTAGCGCCGCAAGTCGCGGGATTGTCTGGTATAGAGAGGTTGGTTCCTCCGGCCACATATTCCACAATGTTTACTCGCACGTTGGGTAGATCAATCTTGCTTGCAAACTTGGCACATTTGGCTTGAAAAGAATCTTGTCGAGTTGAAATGGCTGAGCCCAAAGCCAAGGAGGGCAGGAGAAGAGGTAGTGTTCTCATGTTGACGGACCTGTTTCTCAGCGCAACTGTTGTGTGAGGGAGGATAGAATCATGGAGCCCTCGAGTAGAGGAGGAGCCCTTTTATAGACCTTCTTGCTCGGAAACATTTCCACTTGCTTGCTTCACCGTCTCCACCAGTGATGCCTATCAAGAGTGGAGATTGGGGCATCCAGAGCAGAGTCATCAGTCAAGCTTTGAGAATCCTCCGAGATTGTACCGGGGTGAGAGGGATGCGGTGATTGGGAAGTGTTTGGAGGAGAGAAAGAGATTAATGCCGGCAGATGAGCGGAGCCGAAAATGAAGCTAAATAAATGCGAGACTGTGGTTGGGCCAGGGGCTTCCCCCATACCCCACAGCCACTTTTCCGGGGATCGTCAACTTCTCCGCATTTTGCGGAGAACAGGTTCGATGCCTTCCTCTACCTTTGGGGGCCAGGGCCCTTGCCCCCTTCTGGCTTAGAAGGAAGGATTTGGCTTCCTTCCGTTACCTGTCAGAAACACAGCTCTGTCTTACAATACAGCACTTGAAGAAAGCCGAGGCACGGAGACACATCTCCCTAAGAAACAGACCAGTCATCAGTTCGCATTCCATCACTTCTACCGAATCCAGTGCCGCCTCAATATCTATCACATAGTCCATGCGTCATTTCTTTCAAGCAAGTCGAATTTGTTCACCGAAAATTGCACTTGGTGAAGGGAACAGGCAGGAGAATCAGAGATGCAGCAAGCTAGTGATCTGGTGGATCGAGTTCTGAATACAGAAAGTTCAACGAAGCTTAGTTCGGAACCGCAGAGGGAAAGTTGGTTTCTTGGCCCCGGGTGCTTATCGTGCACTCCAGAGTATATTCAACCGTCACCCCCAGCACGAAAGGAAATACCACCCGCTAGGTTGTTCCACCGTGCAAGTGCGTAAATATTAAATCAAAAATAAGGAAACACATAATTAAGATGGATGTCGAATGCAATAGAGTCAATGCCCACGCCGAAACAGATAATTGACTAGAGATCAAGACCGTTAGTGCGTCTGTATACGGACTGCGGAGGATAGGGGGCCGAACAAATTACAGCGACTGCCCTTGAATGCTCTGTAACTACATTCCAGATCACGAGGCTACACCAGACTAGATCACCCATCACTTTCAGTACGAGATCCAGCCCATACTTAGATCCCATCTGGTCAATTGCCTTGAGTATTTTCGCAGCTATGACGGCTGCTCTGTCAAGATCAGCCAACATGCCAGTCAAGTGAATTTGTTGCTGCTGGTGTAATCGGGATGTTTCTTGTAGAGCTTCGTATTGCTGCAATTGTGCTTGATGCAGCTGTTCGGTTCGTTCTTCGGACTCATTAAGAGCCTTCTGAAGGCCTGGCATGCGCTTTGAAAATCAGTAATGTTTTCCCGTTTTCTTGGAAGTTGTCGCAAACCTCATTCATGCTCTGCGCGATTTGCAGCATATATACCATTCGAGTCGAGAGCAGGTCCTACTACAGTTAGCTCACTGAAAGGATTTGATAATAAATACCCACCAGAGAAGCATCAAATTGCAAGAGTCTTGCCAAATTATCCTGGCAGAGTACTCCTACGCTTTCGTGGTGAGCCAAGGCTGTCTCCCTGGTGGTCTCTAGCTCTCTCTGCTGCGCATCCGCCAATTCATGCTCCCTCTTGGCCGACTCTTGCTGTAGAGCGTGTAGTGTGTGACCAAGCTTATCAGCTTCGATAGCCACAGTCTGGAGTTTCTAGACAGATCATTAACCTTAGTATTAGTCATATAAGCAAATGCAGACTCACGAGATCGAGGGTGTCTGTCTTTTGCTGCAGTGTGTCAATCGCAGGCCCTAGGGACTCCTTGAAAGAGTCGACGGCATACGCGTACAGGCCGTGCAAAATCCGGTCCATCGTCGATCTCAAGCGCATATCGGTTTCTTCCAGTTCCTGTCTCATCCTGCTTCTCATGATACCGACAGCGTGCATGAATTCTTTCTGACGGGCAAGGTCAGCTGCAGCGACCTCCACGGCCTCGTGGAGACCATGCTCCAGCTCGGCAGAGCTATTTAGTATAGATCGATAAAGCTCCAAAAGCTCCGCCTTCTCAGTCTCATCCCTGGCCGCCTGGCATATAACCACAGCATTCTGCCGACTGTTGCTGTAGGAAGTCCACCACTGCGGCCGGGTCTCCAGCAACTGAAGGCAAGACTCCAGCTGCGGCTTCTGAATGAGCTCCGGAGCACTGAAGCGGATTCTATCCCCGAAAATAGATCCGAACCTGCCTCTTTTCTGCGGCGGCACAATCACCAATGAGGAACAAGTGTCTGGCGCTGCTGCCTTAGCTTCTCGAAGCTCACAAATGGCAAGACGAGCTGCATAAAGCGAGCGCACGAGCTCTAGGTCCAGGTATATATCCGTGTCTTGTTTCTCGGACCGACCCCCGATTGACTGGCAGGAAGAGACGAGCTCTGATACCGCCAGCCGGCTGCAGGATGGGGCGAGCTTCATTGAATCGATGAGAAGGAGAGCTTCTTGTATAATAGGCTTTTGCTTCGGCACTCTGGGAGTAAGGAGCGATGTAAGGTCGATCTCGTCCATAGCAAGATTGTCGTTCCCTGCGAGAGCTGCTTGCATCGTTAGCGATTGCCGTGAGAGTGGCCACATAGAGACGTACCATTTTCTGGAAGCACTGCTTCCACGAGACTGTTGAGGCTAAAGATAACTAGGAGCACCAATATAATGATATGCTGAGACATGATAGCGACGAAGGACAATGCAGTCAGCAGTTTCATGGTGGATATTAGTGTCGAGGTCGAGGGTCCGTAAGATTGTACCAGGGAGAAGTATGGAGTAAATAAAGACTATAGTAATGCAGTATAGAACGTGGAGAAATTAAGAGTCTGTAGGACTTAGGTCAATTGAAGCATAATGTAGCAGGTTCATCGAGTTGACACTCATAAGGTAAGCGAGTGGAACGAGGAAGTAGGACAGGCGTGAAGCGGGAAGGTGAGGTTATCCCCATTCTCTGGGCTAGCCCATAAGTCAACCTCAGTTCAGCGGAGAGAAAGACCCGTGCGGCTTACCACACAGCTCCAACACCATTTCATCACGAGTGCAGAATCGAAGTAGAAGCTGTAGAGAGACCTCACCCCCGATCTATACACCCTCTCACGTGATATGCACTAACCGCATTAGGAATACAGGATCTCCGGACAAAATCCGTCCGCATCAAAAGAATCCTAGACTAGTCAATCAAAACACCAGTCGCAACCCACGCCGCCATGTCGAATCTTCTACCCCAGAGCTGCCTCCGGCAGTTTGCGCGGAGCTCCCTGAGAACGGGCGCTGCGTCTGCTCGTCCCGGTTCAGCCTTCGCGCTCCCTCTCCGGACACAACCTTTCTCAACCACTTCCCCGACACAATCGCGGAAGGGCAGTGCCCCGATTACCATCCCCCCGGAGGTGTCTCTCAAGTTCATCGATCTCCCGGTTGTCTCCGTGAGAGGAGGCGCTGAGGAAGCTCCCAAGGTTGCAATTGAGGTGTCGGGCCCTCTGGGTGAGTCCTCGTCTTTCGGAACTTCCCCGGCGAGGAAACAACTCTCATGGTATATCTAACAAGAAGTGAATGCTAGGTAAAATGACTCTGAAAGTCCCCCCTTTCGTCAACGTCGAACACGATGAAGCCCTCCGGAAGGCCACTCTCTCCGTTCAGGACCGGGAGATCAAACACCAGCGTGCCATGTGGGGTATGTGAACAAACCTCTTCTGCCCCGGAAATCCCTTCTCCGCGGGTCTTTGAGTGGTCCAACTGACTGGTCGATGACAAAATCAGGAACCATGCGCTCGCATCTACAAAACTACGTCCTGGGAGTGTCGGAAGGTCACATCTGTATCCTGAGTATGGTCGGTGTCGGTTACAGAGCCACGATCGAGTCTCAGGCGACCACCGTCAAGTCCCAATTCAAGGGCCAAAAGTTCGTCTCCCTGAAGGTCGGATACTCCCACCCGATTGAGCTCCCCGTCCCGTGGGGAGTCAAGGCCAGCACACCCCAGCCGACCCGTATCCTGCTCGAGAGTGTCAACAAGGAAGTCGTGACGCAGTTCGCGGCCGAGATCCGCGAATGGCGCAAGCCCGAGCCCTACAAGGGCAAGGGTATCTTCATCAACGGAGAGACCGTCAGATTGAAGGCCAAGAAGATTCGGTGATCGGGGGGTCATTTATACCTTTGGGGGATTTTTTCCTTTTCTTTTCTTTCTGTATATGTATATCGGAGCATGGTTCTCTGGGTTCGCGACTGGTATTTTGAAATTTGTGTACTTTTAGACGCATCTAGCGTGGATATAGCTTGACAGTTTATGCAGCCAACATGAAAAAAAAAATCACAATCTATGCATAACAGGAAATTCGTAACCTCTTTTTTTTCTTTCTACAACTTCAGAACGACCTTCACGGCGTCGATGACCTGGTCGTGGATGGCCGCGGGGGCGGCGACGACACCCTTGTTGGCAGCCAAGGTCCGGCCCTTGCTGAAGTCCAATCTCTGACCGTAGATATCAGTCACTTGACCGCCCGCCTCGCGGACGATCAGGTCTCCCGCGGCGTGATCCCAGATCTTCTCCTGGTAGTCCTTCTTCACCGGCAGGCGCAGGTAGATGTCACCGGCTCCTCTGGCGATGGAGCAGTACTTGGCCTGGGAGTCCAGACGCACACTGGGGGCGGTGATGCCCAGACGCTCGGCGACGGCGGCGTTGTCACCCTGGGCGGAGTGGGCAGCTTCGACGCCCTCGCAGAAAACGGCCTGGGCGATGTCAGGCACGGGGCGCATGGAGATCGACTTGCTCTCGGCGAGACCGGCGTTGGTCAGGGGTCTGCTGATGGCTCCGACACCCTGGATGGCGGAGAAAAGGACCCCGTTGCCGGCGCCGCTGGTCTGCTCCGCACCGATGCCGGCGGACAAAGTCTCGGAGTCGTTGACGGGGAGGTTGGGGCAGCCGATGGCTCCGACCTTGACATCACCGTCCTCGATCAGGCCCAGGCAGACGGCGTACTGGCCGCCGCGCAGGAAGCCCTTGGTGCCGTCGATGGGATCCAGGGCCCAGACGCGACCCTTGGCGCCCCCAGCGCTCTTGCCCTCATCGATGATGTCCAGCATCGCTTCCTCGCTCGGCAAGGCGCCGCCCAGAAGATTGTCGCTCTCGCTGTCCTCCAACTTGATGTCCTTGACGAGTCTCCAGATCTCGGCGCTCAGCGCCTTGTCCTCGCGGAGCGTGCTGGCCTCCTCCTCGGCGACAATCTCATCGTTGGGGAAGTTCTTGCGGAGGGCTTGGATGATCAGAGCCTGAGCTCCGAAGTCGCCGATGGTGACGGGAGACTTGTCATCCTTGGACACGGTTCCCTTGGCCTTCTCGTTGAAGACCTTCTGGGTGAGGAGAGTTGCGCGCTGAACGGCGAGTTCGGCGATGAAGCGTTCTTGTTGGTAGGCCATGGTCGCGGGTTGGGTATGAGGGATGGAGGAGGAGGAATAGAAGTGGGGGAGAAGAGGAGAGAGTAGATGGTGGCGGGCTTTTAAGATGATGCTGACTCCAAGTAGTAGAGTGGAGCAGACGACGAGACGGGAGAAGATGGAGAGTCGCGGTTTGCGGATGGAGCTAGGATCTGCCGAATTCGGAGACCGAAGACCCATTCCAAGTTCCAAACTCAAGCCAGAGGGGGGTCAATTGGGGGATAATTACTGAGTAAGTGACTTTCTGTAGCTGGTCAATTGCTTCAATTCCTCCTCTACGTGTGTGGGTTGTGATTCTTGTGAATGAATTTCTATGTGGTAGCTGTTTCAATAGAGATCCATGATGGGGATGGTGAATGGGGGATCAGGTGGAAATGCCCCTCCTCTCCTTTATCCAGGAATGGGGCAGTGAGTACAGTACGTACGTAATTGGGTCTGCGCGGCATCGGAAAGAGGAGCCCCAGGCATGGATCAGGCAATAATAAGGCACTCAATTTTGATTGCATTGTCTCTTTCCCCGCACTAGACCCAATGGGGCAACTGGCGAGGGGCACTACGAATCAGTCACGAGATTGGAAGCGCAACTGACACTGGCACTCTCTCTTCTCGAGTCTATGTTGTTTATCGAACCACACATCCACCGCATGACGTTGGAGGCGCTCATTCGGTGTTCCTTCGTCAGTTCTCTCCTCTCTTGTGCGTGCGTGCATCTTTGCTTTGGGATCTTCCATCCGAAATTCAAATCAGTAACACACTCCACCCTTATCTGCGGGTTGGGCTGAGTGCTGCACCCCAGACACTCACTGTCTAGTGTCTACACGTCACCGCTCTGCGGCTTTCGGCTTTCTTGCGCTTCTCCTTAATATTCCCTAGTCCATCCGAATTGGGATCTGCATAACGACTCTACAATAGCATTATAGGTGTACATCAAGGGTCTCCGCCTCAAAATCACCTCATCCCTCTCAACCACAGTTTGCGACCCTGTCTTTGCGCATGTGAAAGTACTCGCTACCGAGTTACCGGTCCGCAGTACCCTCGCAAATCACACGACTTCTTAACGGCCGCATTTGCTCTTAGACACATTCTTAAACATCATGTTTCACTCCTCGGTAAGTCTATCTTAGATCCACGCGACGGGCCAATGCGGCTGTCGTCCGGACATCAGACCAGCACTTAAACAGTCGTCTTTGCTTTGTTACATTTTACTGAACGCTGGACCATTCATCAGTCCACCTCAAGTGCTGATCAATTTGCTACTCTCATAGAAGCCATACACCGCCGTGACGGTGCAAATCGAAGTACTCACTAGCGAACAATACGATGTCGAAGACTCCAGCGGAATTGTCGACCTGATCGAAGCTATCCGCATACAAGCTAGTGGTCCACGGGAAGCCAGTCGTGCGCTGCGCAAGAAGCTGTCAGTCGAGCCAGCCTTTTCCCCTCCAATTCACTAACGCACCCCTGCAGCAAGTATGGCAATCTCCATCGCCAACTACGAGCCCTCACGATCCTCGACTTCTTGATACAGAACACCGGCGATCGGTTCCTGCGCGAATTTGCGGACGAGCCCTTGCTGGAACGGTTGCGCATCGCTGCCACCGACCCAGTCTCTGATCCCCTGGTCAAACAGAAATGCAAGCAGTTGTTCGGACAATGGGCCGCATCATACAAGGACACCCCCGGCATGGAGCGGGTGACGGCGCTCTATCGCCAGCTGCCCAAACGCAAGCAGCCGGCTACCCAGGCGAAGGCCAAAGTGCTACGCGATTCGGCCACATCCGACGAGCCCGTAATGGGACATACGGTGTCGGTCTCCGCCGGCAACGGGCCCGCGACCGTCCTCAGCGGACCGAAACATAAGCACACATCCAGCCGCTCCTCGCGCAAGGAGAAGAAGGAGAAGAGGACGCTCAGCCGCAGTTTCAGCCTGGACAAGGAGAAGCCGGAGATTTTGCAGACGCTGGCGTCCTCCTCGGTCGCCAGTACGAACCTCCTCAACGCGCTCAAATTGGTCAACCGCGAGACACACCGGGTCAGCGAAGATGCAGAGGTCCTCAACCGGTTTGAGACCTGCAAGACGCTCCGGCGCCAGATCCTGCGGTACATCCAGCACGTCGAAAGCGAGGAGTACCTAGGCAGCCTAATCCATGCCAACGAGGAGCTCGTCACGGCACTGATGGCCTTCGAGGTCCTGGACAAGAGCGTCGACTACGACAGTGACAGCGACCAAGACGTGATTGAGAGCGGCTGGACCCCTGACCGCGACGACCTCCCGGAGTCCTTCGCCGGGTTGACTGTCAACCCGCCTAAGCCTCCGCGTCCGCCCCGGCCGCTCAGCTTATCCATGCCTTCCTCCTCATCGAGACGCAAGACGTACAGTGATAGCGAGTCCGAGACTGATGAGGACGACGACGAGAACAATCCATTTGGGGACCGAAATGAGATCCGGACCCCTGCGCATGAGAGAAGTGAACCTACCTGGTATGTACACACATACAACTCTGAATTTGCTTACGCCCTCGAAAACATGACTAACACCCGTTGCAGGAAGGAAGTTTGAATTCTTGACGTGTTTGTTTATGTGAATGTGTGTTTATCAAAGACAGGACGGCGTTGCTTTTTGTCCTTTCCGATGGCGCTCAGATTCCATGGCCTTTTCTGCACCCCCGTTTTTTATTTCCTTGTGCGATTCAACTTGTTCATGACTCGAATGCTATTTTTATTATACTCTATCTTGTTCAAACAACGCCTTGAAATGGCCGTCTCGTCTGATTTCTTTCTCGAGACTTGGGGAAGAAATGCCCCTGTTACCTTACCCTTCTTCCACCCAATCCCCACCGATTTTCGATCTTTGATCTCAGGAGATAGAAGTTTTCGAGAAAAAGAATATTCCTACAATAACAATCGATCGAAAGGAGTTCTTACATATTACGTTACCCATATAAGTTAGATGCAGTGCACTTTCAAGTATGCAAGACTATGTTACGGTTCACAAAATTGAAAGTAGTGCTGACTTCAAATCCGACACCGACACCGACACCGTGCTAGAACAGACCCAGTTCCCCCCAGTGTTATTTCAGTGGAATGGGATGTAATATTCAAGGGAAAATAAAGATTATGGAAAGGAAGCACGCACAAAAGGTATTTCCCAGGTTGGGTTGGTTGGTTGGTTGGTCATCATCGTGATAAAGGCCAGTCTATATAGGTAATAAACAATCACTCGGAACGCCAAGCAAAAAGGTATGATACGGTTGAGGAAGGGAGAAGCAATAGGGTGTGAAGGGGGTATTATGAATAAACGGGGTAGGGGTAATAGCGGGGTGGGTTTGAAGCAAGTCATCGGGTGGTCCATTTTTTGTGTGCGGATTTCCAGCCCTGTGATGGCTCCTGTGAGACCGGGTGGTTGAGGATAAGAACGGATGGATATATTTGCAATGGTGTGGGAGGAGATTGATGATAGGCCGGAGGAGGAGATCGGGGCTAGAGCACCTTCGTCTTCATCCACTCACTCGTGCCGACGCCGAGGTTCAGCCCGTTGCGCGCCCACCAGGTGCGCACGCGCTGCTCGGCGCCGGAGACGGGGTCGGCGTCCTCGAGGGCCTCCTCGATGTCGCAGGTCTTGAACTCGACGCGCAGGCCGCTGCGGCGCCACCACTCCAGGACGGCGTCGTGGCCGTTCTTGGTGGGGCCGACCAGGACCTGGCTGTCGAAGATCATCTTGGCGCCCTTGAGCCGGTGCCAGAATTCCAGGACGTGCACGTGGCCGTGGGTGCTGGCGATGCGGGCGACCGACTCGCCGTGCGTGTAGGGGATCCCCGAGGCGTCCCACCAGGCCAGGGAGGCGGTGCGGCCGGACTGGGCGGCCAGGAGCACGGATTTGCCGACCTTCAGCGGGATGCGGGTGCGGCGGCCACTGGCGAGGACGGGGTGTGAGGAGGTCGCCGGGGGGGCGGAGGAGGCGCGCTTCCACCAGTCCAGCACGGCGACTTGGCCCTCGGCGCTGGCGGCCTCGAGGGCGCGCTCCGTGTACCGCAGTTCCAGGCCGGAGGTGCGCCACCACTCCAGCACGTTGACGAAGCCGGCCCGCGAGGCGCCGTCCATTGCGTCGGTGGTGTAGTCTTTGTTCGGGAGGTCGGGGGCGTCGCGCCACCACGTCAGGAGGTTGGGGTTGCCGTAGATGGCCGAGGCACGGTAGGGGAGGACGCTGAGGAGCGAGGTCGTCCAGAGGAGGTCATGCTGTTTCTCAATGAGGTAGGAGAGGATGTCGGTTCGGGAGAATTTGAAGATGAGGTGAAGGGAGAGATCGGAGAGGGGTTTCCAGCGCGGGAGGCTGTCGATGCGCTTCTTGATCGCCGCGAAGGATCCTCGCAGGATGGTGTATTCGAGCGAGGCCGGCGTGGACATTTTCAGCAGGTGGTTCTGCCATTCTTTGGGCACGGGGAGGTTCGTGGGGATGCCCACGGCCTTGGCGATCTCCCAGTCGTGTAGCTGGTCCTCGAAGATATTCAACCAGAGCTCCATCGGTAATGAGCGCGGGCCATGTTCCGTCTTATTCAGGCGATATAGCAGGTGTCGCGATATGGCTGAAGGCACATCCCCCGTCTGCGTCGTTTCTGGCGGTCCGCTCGAATGATCTGAAGGCTGGCCGGAAGCAGGATGTTTTTCCGAGAAAGATAGTTTCAGGGTCTGTTCAATCGTGTCGTGGAGAACCTTCAATCCATCCCAGGGCAATTGTACCAATTCTTCCGTATCCCCGGGCTTCCACAGCACCGGCGTGACGACCTTGATCCAGGACCAATATTGCCGCACCTCCCAGAGCTGCCGTTTGCTGAGCGGGTGGCTCCATTCCGACACAGTCATGCCGGGGATGAGCACCACGGGTTTCGACGACATCCAGCCCCGGAGCAGGGCCAGCGTGAGGGTGTTGGTCAAGCCCGACAGCATGGAACCCAGCGCTCCCGCATCGATCGGCGCGACCAGGAGCATATCCGCCCAGTCGCACAGCTCCGCCGCCTTGGCCTTCAACCATTTCCGCGCGCCCGTTTTCTTCTCGAAGGTCTGGCTATCCACCGTATCCATGTAGTGCGGGACCTTGCTGGCGCTCGAGAGCAGCGCCGAGGGCTCGTCGGTGATCAATCGTAGTTCGATGTCCGGGTTCCGCACCAAGGAGGGGAGTACGTTGTCGACGAATGCGCTATCAGTGGAGAGGAGTAAACGTTTTCGACGGCGGGTCGAAGGGCCAGCGAGATCTTTCATTTCATTATCTATGCAGGATCCGACCATACTTGTATGCGCAGTGACCATTTCCTCGCTCCTCGCAGAATCCACCTCCATTTCCGAGGACCAAGCAGCTTTCGAACCCACACTTGCAACCGTCGATGTCGTGGAGATGCTCGTCCCGACCCCGACTGCCATAATAATAACAATCCGATTCAACAAGGATCAGGGGAAAGGGTGTCACAAAGGAGAGTTGTTCGATCGGGCCGGGGATGGTGTGTGGGTGGTATGGGGCCTTGCGCGCGGTATTATAGCTGAGTGAGTCCCCCCCCGAGTCGTCCAAGCTAAAACAGAACCGTTAAGAACAAGGCTTGCCGGCAGGGATCGTCACCAAAGCAAATACCAACTCCCTGGTCAAGGATACGAATCGCAACCAGTGCAATCCTCGCGTTTGAAAGGAAGTGGAGAATAGGGCGGTAAGGATAAAGAGGGAGTCTGTAGCAGTAGCAGTGGCAGAGAGTGGACTGTCTGGCAGTGAATTGATTGCAACCCAAGAAAGCTGTTCTCCTCCCAGACGAATAATGTTGAACTACCGAGTGCAAGCCATGTACAGTGCAGTCAAGAGGCGGACCTCGAAGCAACCGCACGTGTTGAACGACTGGTGGTCTGATCGGAGGAACTAAGCGGTGTGTTGGGAGAGAGAGAGAGAGCGGGACTTGCAGAATAATACGTAAATTCGCAGATGAAGGGAAGCTTGGGCGGGAATGCGGTAGGGCAGTCGTCGCCACGTCTTTCCGTTTGCTGCACGCCACCAGGTTTATAGGTATGTGTAAAGACGGTGGATGATCTCAGGGTGATGAGAGAGTAGTACTGTGAGGAAGTAAGGGAATTAAAAAAAAAAAAAAGAGGGACTGACTGTCACAACCAAAGCAAGGAGAGTGAAGAAAGAGCGGAGAGTCGAGTCAGTGTGCCACTCACTGACCGGCCATGCATGAGAAATGGAACCATCAATTATGGAGGGACAAATAGGAAATGTGGGGCCTCAGGCCACCCAATCCCGATGATGTATTCATTAGGTAGTCTTTTCCATTCTTTCATTCTACCCTTCTACTGCTCTTCTACTGCTCTTCTACTGCTCTTCTACTAAGTACATGTACATACTTTGTATAGCTTGTAGTGTAGAGTCTACCCCTCGACTACCATTCATCCCAACTCTAATCCTCCCGGCGAGAGAGATTCGAGTGCAACTTATGCTCCCGCATGCCCATGCTGACCAACGCTCCCAGCACCGCCAATCCCAGCAGTGTAAGGAATACCGCCCGTAGGGAGTCAATGTACGCATCCAAGACCCCTGGGACCCAATCCGCGGGGAGACGGTGGATCTCATCCAGACTGTCTCGGATCTTTGAGATCAGCTCTCCCGCATCTTCCCGATCGCCAAATCGTCTCCAGAGCCCCGACTTCAGAATGTTCTGGAACACGGCGGAGGCCACTGTAATGCCAATCGTGCTACCCGTGCTGCGGAAGGCGTAAGATGCAGAGGTGATAACGGCATGATGTTCGTGGTCCACGGCAGAGATCAGTGCCACCAGGGTAAGAGTCAGCATACTGCCGTAAGCCGTGCCCATCAGAAAGAAGTAGATAAACGGGAGCCATGCCGGAGTCGTGAGCGACAACGTGCTGATCAGGATGGAAGCGACGACCAGAAGAGTCAGGGTAATGCGGACAAACACCTTGTAGCGCCCGGTGGAGCGCATGAGAACGCCAGCCCCCAGCGAACCAATGGACGTTCCAAGGGCTTGCGGAATCAACCGCACGCCGGCGGCGGTAGCGGAGAGGCCCTGGACCTGGAAGAACAAGGGCAAGTAGAACAACAGCCCGAATACGGTCATGGTGCCGAACCAATTGGTCAAGCACGCGGAAAAGACCGTCCGGTCAAGAAGGAGCCGGACTGGGATGACCGGCTCCGACGCAATCTTGGCCTCGATATAGAGGAAGAGGGCAAAGGACACGGCGGCTAGCGGCAGCGAGATCAGGATGAGCGGGTGCGTCCATGGCAGTTGGTTCCCACCCGTGTTGAGTCCGAGCAGAAACAAGACAAGTGTGGTGACCAAGGTCACCGCTCCGAGGAAGTCGACCCGTTTCAGTTTGGCATCGTCGGTGTCCTTGACTGGCACTTTTACCATGACAGTCACCAGAATGCCCGAGACCACAATGAAGGGCACTTGGATCAGGAAAGCCCACCGCCAGCCCAGCGTGTCGTTGATCCATCCGCCAAAGACACCACCCAGACCACTTCCAGCACCGTAGCAAATGTTACCAATGCCCTGCCAGATTCCTCGCTTCCGAAGCGGAACCAAGTCCGAATTGATGATGGTAGAGATGGCGGTCAGACCCCCTCCTCCAATGCCCGCAATGACACGACCCGCTATGATAGCACCTTCGCTTTTGGCGAGTCCACACATCAGCGTCCCCGCGGCGAAGAAGACATTCGAGAATACCAGCCCTGCCCGACGAGAGAATATATCCGTCAGTCGACCGCTCAGCGGCTGGAAGGCGGCATTGGATATCAGGTAGGACGTGGCCAGCCACGATAGCAGGGACAAGGAGTGGAAGGACGAGGAGATCGGAGCGCTCAACGTTGCGACAATCGTGGTATCTAGTTATGGTAAGCTAGGGAAGTAGCAGAGAAATCAAAGAGAAAGTCACGGACCCAAGGCAGCAAGAAAGACGCCAACCCAGACACTTCCCATCACCAGGATCAGCTCCTTGGTGGTGGGTTCATCGGCTAACGGAACCGGAGAGTCACCCGGCTGATTGAGATCATCTTGCCTTTGGTCCCCAAGAAGAGGCGTCTGCTCCGATACCGGCCTTGTGGACGGGATATCTGCTGCGGATTGACCAGGGGACATCTCTATATTAGTATCGAGGTCGATTCACTGTACCGCGACATCTGACAGCGCGGGATGTTGGGAGGTACTCCAGATAGAGTGCAAGGATGACGATACCTTATCTCCCGCGCGGCAAGGCGGCAGAGTTAGTCAGCCATCTTTCAATTTGTTTCCGTTCACCAAACAACAACAAGTAAATGAATTGAGAACTCTCTTCACTCCAGAGATAAGAGCATAATTCCCAGACTTTGGAGTAGAGATACCATCCATGATGTCCGAGGGATTTCCCGCATGGTAGCCTTCTACCCCTGTCCCGATCATCAATCATTGAGACCTGTTTAGTCATGAGTTTTCTTCTGTTGCCGAAAGCCCTAAGCTACTTGCACCCGGAGCCTCTTACCCCTGACGAAATGAACTTACGGAGTTGGCCATCGCTCTCGCGCATAGCCTATTTATGGACTAGACGGTTAGACCTATCAATCCGGCACCCATGCCAGCCGTCACTACCTAGTCACTAGTGATCCAATAGATGACTTGATGACCTCAGGGTGTTGACAAGGCCTTTGAAAGAAACCAAGTGTGAGGACAGCGCGATCTTGAACCGAATGGCAGCACAGACATCGGATGAAACAAGATTTCAACGCTTCTCGCAGAGCCATTAAGCGATCTCCTCATGAGACGGACCCTTGCCAGTTGGACGGCCCAAGATGCATTTTACGCAGCCAGCCCGAAATGAAACGACTGCGATAGATGAAAAGTAAAAGATTGGAGGGGCCTCAAATGGACCCTGGGGAATTTTATCTTTGTTTTTTGTTTTTTCCCTTTCGCTTCGCACCGCTGTAAAAATCTACAAGGTCAAGAGGCTTGCATTGCAAACCTGGCTGTGGTCAAATTGAATCCATGTTTAGGGCAATTTCCGTGACTTCATATAGATGACCCCACCAGAGCAAGTGGTTTGGCTCAAATAGCTTCGAATAAGCGTATTATCAGGACCTTCCTTTAAGTAATAGTGGATCAGTAGCTCATTTGCTTCTATCATCATCGGTTTACTAAGTCGTCAGATCCTTCGAGCAGCATTTGGAAAAGTTTTCTGACAGGTTAGAGCTTTGTATTCCCCCCCCTGAATGGAAAGTCGTGTTCCCGTTTGGACCAGCATTTTAGGAGGTTAGGGAGTATAGGCGATGGGGGGAGAGTTAGGGTTTCCCGAAATCGCAACAACTCATCTCCGGTCAACAACAAGCTGGGACGGGCGATTTAGGAATTATCTAGTTTACCAATGGACCTACACCAACGGTGCAAAGGAAGCCACCATGGCAGAAAGAGAATAGTCGGGCCCAGATCGACTGGTTCGTTGTCAATAGATAGATGATGGGGTGACTCTTCGTCCGTTCTCGAACCATTCGGAGTCGTCCACCAGCTCGCCTTTCAAACGGAGCACTACCAAGTTTAGTCAATTGGTCCATGTCAAATCCTTTCCCTTTAATTCTCCCCTGATGGGCACGGTGGACCTGAAACAGGCGTCTGCGGGGTCATGACGGTGGAAAATGAAGCTTGCAGAGAGGAAAAAAAAGGAGTCAAAAGGGACGTGGTGGTGCTAATGAAAAAGAAAAAGAAAGGAGGCAGCAATAGCTAGGCAAATTACGGAGTGGACAGGCAAGCGATCATCACCATCAGGACCGTGCCCCCGTCACGTGGAATACAAATACCTACTGGGAGATGCGAAATCATTGTCTGCTTTGTTCTTTGTTCTCTGTTCTCTAACCTCAGTCACTCTTTTAACCACGTCCTCAACAACTTCATCGTCGTGATCTTCAGCCGGTGACCTGCCAGGCTTCAACTACTCGCTTCTCTTTTACCATCAGTTACTTCTACCTAATATTTCCAAATTATTCATAATGGGTTAGTGCCATTGCTTGTTTTATCTGAACCGATGAGAAGAAGATCAGCTAACGTAGAATGCAGCGCCGGCTTTCATTGCTAAGTTGAAGACCAAGCTCAAGTCTATCTTCAAGAAGAAGAAGACCGACCAAGAAAACCCCGAAGCTACTCCTGCTGCTGATGCTGCTGCTGCGGAGCCCCCGGCTGGTTCGTAAAGAGATTATGAATGACTTATGGGAGCCCTAATGGCTAATGATGCCAGATGTCCCCGCTGAGACCCCCGCTGAGGGAGCGAAGCCGGAGCCCACTGAGCCTGTGACATCCTCAACTGCTCCGGTTCTGGAACTGAGCACGGGCGCACCCGCAGAAACCGTGGCGGAGGACCACGCCGCGGAGAAGAAGGCCGAGGCTGCTGCTGAAGCTGCTGCGGACAAGCCTGCCGAGACTGTTGGACAAGCAAAGGGTAAGCCAGCCATAACCCGACGACGAGGCCTTGACTAACAGCCTGCGTCTAGCCGAAGAGTCCAAGTAACCGAACTCATGGCGATGAGCGATGCGTCGTGATCTCCACGCATCTTCCATTCTTTTACCCTCGAACTCCTTAATACCTTGCATCTCATACCCAGCATTGACTGCTACCGATTTTCCTTGTGCTCTGTGGCCGATACCATCTTCTCAAAATACCCTATCTTGTTTCTGTTAGCTTGGCATCCTTCCATACCGTTTTAATCGTCTGAACCGAACTCAGAATAGACCGACATGTGCCGATTTAGTCAGTCGCAGTAGAAGTGTAGAATCCGTAGAAGAAGATAATTGTTGGAACATGATATCGGCACGGGTATCATAGGCTAAGAATGAATGGGAGACATAATACACTTTCGAAAGGCCTCAGTCACTTCCTCCATCCGAGGAAGCACCGTCCTCCACCCCAGCAGGCTGTGCAGCTTGACCTTCGGCGGTGCCAGCGGCAGCGGCAGCAGCTGCTGCAGCGGCCTTTTGTTCTCTGGCCTTTTGTCTCCGCTTGAGCTTCTGCTCGCGATTCTTGCGGTTGCGTTTCTCCGCTTTACGTTTCTCTTCCTCCTCCTGCCGCTTCTTCGCTTCATCCTTGGCCGAACGGCGTTTCCGCAGCTGGATGCGCCGCTTCTTTCCGGGCTTTTTGCTCGAAACCGGGACTCTCTCGGGCGGATCGACCACACAAGTCGTCGGCTGGGTGTCGATATCACCTGCATTCTTTGATCCCTTCGCCGTCTTCTCACTCTTCAGATGAACCACTTTCCAGGGAAGATAACAACCAGGCTTCGAGAAGCACAGTTAGCAAGCGTGCTTCCCCCACGACACAATTATCAGCAAGGAAAGAGATGTGACACTTACCCACGGCACCTGAGCGAACCCCAGCATCTGCAGCCCAGATACTGCCACCTCCTCAAACTGCTGCCTCTTAGCTCTGAGAATCTCCTCCTCCTGGCTGTCCGCCTTTCCCCCCGTCATCGACCCCGGCGCGGTGAAGTAGTGCCCATACCCACGGAAGGGGTTCACCAAGCGACCATCCTCCAGACCTCCAGCCCCAGGAGTAGGAGACCGGACCCGGATGCGTAGTTTTTGCGCCACCCCCGCCGCTGCGGCGGGGTCCGTCACCTTGTTCTCGTTTGCGTCCTTGCCGTCCGACGTCGCACCAGCCAAGGGTTTCGTGGCTGTCGCCGGGGCAGGAGCACTGAACAAACGGAATTCGAATTCTTGCTCCTCTTCATCCGCGTTGTGCTCGTTGTCCTGTGGTTGGGTGGGTTCAGGGGCGGCGTATGCGGGTGCGATCAGGGCGTCGAGATTGAGCAATGCCCCAAGACGCTGCTGGACATCTGGAAGCGCGGATTCCGGGGGCGGCGATGCGGGAGGAGATTCTGAGTCTCTGGAGAGTAGCTCATCGCGTCGAACGCTAATACGGGAGCTCTGTTAGTGGGATTGTGGATTGGAGGGCACTGAAGAACCGCAAGTCGTGACATCGGCATACCGTTTTGCCATGGGAAGGTCAAACATGGTGTCGGTTTCGGGAAGTTGTCACCAGTCGGATAATAGAAATAAGCAAGCTAATGCTTTCTTTAGAAGGAGAATCGATCGCGTTACAGATCTGTTTGTTTATCTGCGCTGCGGGCTGGTGGTGACGGTGACTCGTTGCCGGTTGGTTGGTTGGCGGGTTGGCGGTGGAAATGAAAATTGTCGGTCGTCGGCCGCGGACAGCTTTATTTCCACCAGTGGTTTTCTGGTGCGGCCACGGCCCCGGAGCATTGGCTGTACGTATGCATCGCGCTTGTTCAATTGATTGTTGATTTCAGGAATTGATTGGACTGGAGATCTGCCTCCAATTTTAAGTTGCTTATATGAGTATCTTTGTTTGCATCAATCACTACTGGTATAATTATATCTAGATCCATCTACGTACTCTTATTTTGAGAAGGGAGTAATCACTGTGCTGCTACTGTGTACCTAGTAAATTACTGTATAGTGGCTGGATGGTGCGCTAGCGCCACGCACGGGCCACATGTGTCCGACGGATTAGGCATAGAAGGAAGAGCGCCAGCCCGTGGCATTCATGAGGTTCCCGGATAACTTGCTCCACCCACGGGCGCCTCACTATCTCGACTTGTACAACCACCACACCACCAGCTTCATCCACCACCACCACCACCCAAACACAACCCCTCCTTCACCTTCAGTATCACCGCCTGGTGCGCTCCTGTACATTGCACTTCGCCAACCAACCTTCTTTTGAATTGAGACCGTCTCTCGTTTTTCAGCTCGCTTTATCACCCAGTTCCGATCCGTGTTATCTCTCATCCCCAGCCAACGTCACACCACATCCAGAAACAAGATACTTTCCTCTCACCTTGACTAGAATACACCATCACCATAGCCAACCAACCATAAACAATCACAATGGGTATTTGCGCCTCATGTCTGGGGCGTAGTCCCCCAGAAAGCCAAGATGTACGTTTCCCATCACCCCCCCCCCCCCTTCAACTCCATGTCTTCTCCTTAGCCAGACATTGCGCCGGAAGCTCGCCGCGCAAACCCTTTTTCTTTTCAGGACAACATCCAAAGTAAATCCCCGCTAACTCAAACTGCAAATCTCATAGAGCGAATCCTCCCGCCTCCTCGAAGAAGACATCTACAACCAACCCGGCTACGGCTACGGATCCCTCAACAACGCCAGCCCCAGCAACCACCCGGATCCGGGCTACCTGAAGCGCGAACGAGAAGCATTAGAAGCCATCTGCCAAAGAGCCTCGGAGTAAGCGCAACCCACAGCTTTTCTTGTTACATTTGGATTCTGTGCGAGCGAGCGGATTCCTAACTCAATCTAAGCTCCGTCATCGACATCTGGTCGATCCAACCCCAGCCCCATCTCCAACCGCATGCGACCCTCCCCAGCGCCGTCGTCGCCCCCTCCACCTCGACCTCCGACGCCCCTCCGCCCGTCAAGGTCACGAAAACGGACACGACCCCCCCGCGCGCGCCGCGCCGATCCGCCGCATCGCCGAAACCCGGCGGGACGGTCCCGAAGCATTGGGGGGAGGTGGTGATCAACACGCGCAAGAACCGGTCGCGGCCCGGTTCGAGCACGGATGAGGACGCGTCGAGGGATGTCTTCGGGGTGTTGAAAGTGACCTAACCTCGGAGAAAAGAATCGATCAAAAGTAAACCCAAACTAGGGCGGGTAAAGGCAGGGGAGGAGGAGCAGAAGCGCACGGACGTGTTTCTGTTTGAGCTGAAGAGCAGTAACGGCGAACGAGCAACACTGCGCCAGCTCTTTGCGAGCTGTTGCTGAAACAGACATAAGCAGCTTGACTCCAAGATGAGGGTCGCCAAAGATACTTTTCCTCATCGGTCGATAATCCCCCCTCTCTCTCTCTCTGCCTTCCTCATACGCATCCTCAAACTCATCTTGCATTTTTCATGGGTCGCCGGGCGACGACGGGCGTTTTTATTGTCAATCTTTCTGATCTTCCGTTCTCTTGCCCCCCTTCTTTGGAGCCTTCATATCTAACTTCTTCTTTTTCTTCTTCTTCTTCTTCTTCTTCTTCTTTGCCGTCATCTTCTGATGGTAGATTCCCATGTTGAATCATACCTTTCCCCCCCTTTTATAATACCCTGGCTTAGCCTGTGTCCTTCCTCTTCATTTCATTTCTCTCTTTGAATGTCGGATTTCTTTTTTTCTGTTCTGTGTTTGTCATCTTCCTCTCAACTTTGGTCTCTCTGTGGTGTGATGGACGCATGAGCTGTTTTTCCTGCCCGATTTCTATGTAGTAAGATTGTTGCCCCGGCTACTTCGGCCTGAGGCGCGCACTTCGATACCATCTCAATTGAGATCTATGACATAGACAGTTGTTGTTTGTGCCACTGTGCAATAGACCGTACCAATAGGCATGGCAATCTTGGTTCTTATTATACAAATCCATAAAGTTTGGAATTTTCTGTATTATCTCGAAAAAACACGGAGTGTTGGGAAGGATAGAGACAGATGGGCCGTCGCTGGTAGGTAGGTGGGTAATAGTACACCTAAGCTGAGCACCTTCCCAAACCAGCTCCAACCCATCCTACAGCATCCCCAACAACATCCTCATGACGAGGGGCAAAGACATTTCGATTGCACCAGTGGACTTCAGCAGAAAGGGAAAACAAAAAAGAGAAACTCCGCCATGGAACGCCTTCCAGCCTGACACCGGCATGATTTCACTTGATAAGATGATAAAAATAAATCGCAAATCGCGAGAGGGCAAGGAGAAGATAGGAGGCGGAGAAGTAAAAGGATGAGACAATGCCAATGCGATATAGATGGGAGTATAATGTCCAAATCAGGAGCAGAGAAAGGTTGGGAAAAGAAAAAAAGGTGACTGAAACCAGTCTAGATGCAAGGGCATGGTTGCGAAGGAGGAAAGCGGACGATTGGTACAGTACCTCTAAACATCATCCATCGTACCGGCCGGCTCCTCGCCACCGGATTCATAGCTCCCAGCCGAGCTCAGCTCGTCTTCCGACTCGGTGTCTTCGCCGGCGTCGTCGACGGCGTCTTTGCTGGCGTACTTGGCGACATACTCTGTTGAATATGGATTAGTATGTTTGCGAGTCTGACTGGGGATGGAGGAATGGATCCCCTTACCTTTCACTTTAGCGTCGTAGGTCTTGGGCTCACGCATGAGCATGGCTGCTGCTTCGCCGTTGAGAGGGTCGGACGGGTTGGGGTAGCGGAGGAGCTGAGGGAGGAAGACCTCGAAGATGTTGATCATGTCGTACATGGGGGACCAGGTCTGGTTGATGACGTCGAGGCAGACGGAGCCGGAGCTGGGTGGGGAGAAACCAAAGGTGAGTTGGGGAAGGTTATGGGGAAAATCGGACGGTTGGGGTTGGGAAATAACGGTACATACAGCTCATCGATGTTCGGGTGAAAGATCCGGTTGACAAACCCGATGCTGGGGCTCTTGTATGGGTATTGATCGGGGAGTTCGACGTGGATCTTCCAGTGGCCACCAGCGAACGGAGCTTGAATTTGGTTAACAAACTCGACTTGGATTGAACCGTGGAATGCGAGACCACTCACTCTCCTCAGGGCCCTTGAAGCGGACGTAGAATTCTTGCCTGGTGGTAGGTTAATAAGTCACGAATCTCGGGGCAATGAGACGTACACTACATCGATTGTTAGCAAATGCAAGGCAGCTTGGTCCAGAAGGGCAGCAGCGTACTGTTATCATTGACCAGAGTCACCTCATAGTCACTCATCAACCTATTTGTCCATCAGCATGATGCCTATGTATTCCGTCCCGCTCGAATGTCTTCGTGAATCCCATCTCCATCGGCGGCGTAGGTACAAAGGAACGGCGTAAACCGGGGCGCATACATCCTGTGACCCATTAGTTAGCTATCATGCGATCGCGAGGCACTTATGGCGTAGCATACTTCATAACCTGTCAAAGAACACCGCCGTCAGCATTTCCGCCACTCTCGTGACAGGTACGGAAGGAGGATACTCACATCGGTCTCGATTCTCCGCTTAGGGCTGCTCATTTTGACGGATTGGGGGATTTGGAATTCTCGTGGGTGATCGTTTCAGTATGGGGGGAACGAAACCGGGTCTCAGTAAAATCAAGCGACGAAAAATGTCGGTGTTGGAGGTTGAGGTCTTCCCCAAGGTCGAAGCGGGGAAGCAATGAGCGGGGCGAATCTGGGTAGCGATAGGGCAGATGTAAAGGGCCAAGGCGCTGAATTATTGAATCTGGTTGCAGAGAACGCGAATACCGAGTTGGAGGTAGAGAGAGGTGAGTTGTTCAGAGAGTCAGGGAGGTTGAGAAAGAAAGAGAGTATGAGGGAATAAAAGAAGAGGAAGCGGGAGGAGAAAGGGAAGTAGAAGTAGAAGTAGTACGAGAGGAGGGAGCGAAAGATGGATGGAGATGATGTGACGGAACCGTAGTTAGTCTAGTTTGACGGGTCAGGCCCGGCAGTCACTCAGTTAGTTAACTCACTGTTAGGAGGCGGTCAGGCGCTGGGTTCCTTTCCCGGTTCCATGGAATCATTGAGTGTACTGTACTGCTCCGTACTCCGTACTCCGTACAACTACCCGTGACGCCATGCTACACTACAACAATTAAATTTACAATTCCTCATTTTTCAGCCCGCCAGCTATCTACTGCACATCCTGGCATCTGCACAGTGGCCCAAGGCCTAACCCTTCCCAATCCACTTGAACCCAACCTTAAGCCGGCAATCCTGCTTATCATTGGCCCAAGATCAGGAGCATACGGATGGGTGTCGGCCTTAGGTGTCAACTGGCCTCGCTGTCATCTGCTCTGCCTCGACAAACGCAATCTATTGAGGTATGCAAATAATTGAACTGGATATCAATATCACCAACACCACCATTCATCAACATATACTCCTCTTCTAGGGAAGGCTATCGCCACACCTTCGAGTGCTATTTCGCAGGACACAGAGAGGGATTTTTTCTCAATCCACCTCCACGAAATCAACATGGACTCCCCCTCCCCCCACGGCCCCTCAGCCCGCAACTCCCCCAACCCCGATCAAACCAGCCTCCCTCACAGACCAGCCAAGCGCACGCAATCATCTGACTCCTCCGCGTCCACTGCGCAACATACCCCCATCCCCGACGACAAGCATGGCGCCGATCTACCGATGAACCTATCCGCCTCCGTGGTGTTGACCAGTCTGCCCCGTGATGCGCATCAAGCATTGGCGGATGCCGAAGCCGTAGACAAGGGCAAAGGCAAGTACAGTGCTCGTCGTATTTGCCCATCTAGCAAGCATCACGCCTCAGCTGCCCCAACCCCCCAATCCGTGAAATCTACTTTGCAATGATCAGCGGTCACCGATCCGATCGATCGGTTCCACAAGCCAAATCGCCCATCGCCCACCTTTTGCCTTCCGTAGAACTTATCGCACTAACTAACCAACCATCCCGCAGTCACGGTGCGATTTCAACCTCTCCCCTCGGCCCCGATTCTCAAAACCCGGGTCTTCAAGGTCAGCGCTTCGCAGAAGTTCGAGACCGTCGTCAACTTCCTCCGAAAGCGGCTGGACTGCAAGGAAACCGACTCGGTCTTCTGCTACGTCAATAGCGTCTTTGCGCCGGGGTTGGATGAAGGGATTGGGGGGCTATGGCGGGTAAGTTCTTCCGGGGGTGTCGCGATGATAGGGCCCTTGAACTCTTATCTTTTCATCTCTAGTGTTTCAAGACGGACGAGCAGCTCATCGTTGCGTATTCCATGACTCCGGCTTTTGGATGACAGACATATCCGGAGTCTAGGTTGATGTTGAAGGAGTGAAGGAGTACGTACTGCATGTCTATCTTACATGTTTGTCCGCTGAACAACACGACTAACAGCACGTCAACTGACCTTAAAGGCACGATAATCTTGACGATATTATGAACAGAATCTCCTATGGGAAGATGATTATGGGAACATGGAAATAAAAAGGTATCTATACAAAAGTAGACTTGCGCGCACCAACAAACGACAGGGAATCCCACCGGGGTATGTAAGGGAATAGAACCGCGCCAATGAATCCGATTGATCAACGTTTCTGGTTGTCCGGGCCCTCTTCGACGATCCTCTCGAACTCGGCCAGCTCCTCCTTCGGGATAGCATAGGTGTACTCCTCCGACGGATACGCGCGGCTCTTGACCTCGTCGCGATACTGCTCGATGCCCTTGATGGCCTCGCCCCAGACATCGGCGTACTTCTTGACGAACTTGGGGAGGAAGCGGCCCGGCGGGAAGTTGCCGGTCATGTCGATCTGCACCAGCACCTGGCCGGAGCAGCCATTGCCGGCGCCGATGCCGATGGTGGGCACGCGCAGCTTCCGGGTGACGATGGCGGCGATCTCCGCGGGCACCGCCTCGACGACCATCATGAACGCGCCGGCCTCCTGCACCGCCCGCGCGTCGCGCAGCAGCCGCAGCGCGCCCGCCGTCGACTTGCCCTGCACGCGGAACCCGCCCAGCGAATGCTGCCGCTGCGGCGTGAGCCCGACGTGCCCGACCACGGGGATCCCCGCCTGCGTGATGCGCCGGATCGTCGGCGCCATCTCCTCCCCGCCTTCGATCTTGACCCCCTGCACCCGCCCTTCCTTGACGATGCGGATCGCCGACTGCAACGCCTGCTCCGGGGAGACCTC